CTTTCGCCGCCGCCCTCCCTCCTTCCTTCCCTCCCGGCTGCCGGCTCCCGGCTCCCGGCCGGTTCCCCGCGGCGCCGGCGGGCGGGGCGTTCCTGCCGCCGATCCCGGGCCGTGCTGCGCCACAGACATGGCAGCCCGGGCCGGCAGTCCCTGGCCAGCGAGCAAAGGGGCTGCGGAGCGAGGCCCGCGCCCCGAGGTGGGCGAGTGCGCGTACGAGTCACAGAATAAGTTAGATTAGAAAAGACCTTTGAGATCATCGAGTCCAACCTGAGACAGAATACCACCGTGTCAACCAGATCACGGCACTGAGTGCCATGTCCAGTCTTACGTTAAACACCTCCAGGGACGGAGACTCCACCACCGCTCCTGGCAGCTCCCAATGCCTAATTGCCCCTTCTGTGAATAAATTCCTCCTAATCTGGGAGCGCTCTGTACTGCCCATCCCGGAGGTGTCCAGAGCTGCCTCGGGCTCCCGTCGGCATTATAAAAAAACATATATGCAAAACATAAATGAAAACCCCAAAACCCCACACTTGTATGCCAAAGGGTAAATAAGCGCACAAGCCCCGCGCTCTCTGCCAGGCCCCCGCGCGTGCCGGTGATGGCGCAGGGCACGGTCTGAGGGATCGCAGAGCCCTGACAGCGCACCCGCCCCTCAGAGGGGCTGTCGCAGGCGCAGGTGACACTGGCGCGGTTCTTCCCCAGCCTTCTCGGCCCCTGAGCCGTCCCAGAGGTTACGGACCCACCACGAGATTTCCTCAAATCTCTGAGGGCTCGTCCGTGAGGAAATGCCCCAACCCGGCATTTCCCTTCGGTGCGTTTGGACTCCGTCGGGCCGCACACCATTACGGGATAGGAGTGGAAGGCAAATGCAGGCACGTGCGTGTTTTTAATGGAAAATCAGGGGGTGTTGATCCAAAACCGGACATTTGCGAGGCGGGCTTCCCTTGCCGCTCACCCTCAGGGCTGAGCTCTCTGCAATCCACGTAAGAGCCGAAGCAGGTATTTGGGAAGAGCCTAGACTAAACACAGAATCCCTACTGCAGCCTGCAAGAGGAGTCTACAGGCGGGAGGAGATTCACAGCCCTGTAAGTTATCCACCAGCTCCCTCACATACTCCCACTCTTCAGTTTCCCTTGTTTGGGTTTTACATTAAGCAAGATTGTTCTTGTCTCCCCCAGCACAAAAAGGAAAACACAAACCACTCCAAAAATGCCCAAAGATTGGATTAGCCTTCCTGAAAAGTCTTGAAGGCATAGGCAGTACGCTAAGAGAGGTGGAGGGAGTCTTGCAAGGACAAATAAGCCTCAGGAAAACATTCTGTAGAGCAGAAAGTCTCAGTACTAAAGCTGTCAGGGCTAACAGCCTTAAATTTACCAGTGATACCTTAGAAACTATGTTAGTGGTTCTCACAGGGTTTTTTGCCTTTTATTGTTTCTAAACTTCCCAAAATATTCCAGTTATAAAGATTTTATAGTACCTCAATTTTTTTTCATATTGACTGTTTTCCTTGTTTGCGAAGCAAGTTTTTAACACACCTAAGTCTTATTTTAAATTTTTTGTCTCCTTAGAATTAGAAGTTGGTTGAAATAAATCAATATAAAGTTGTCAGACTATCTGGAGGCCCTTAGTCCACAGTTCAATAAGGAATCAGTGCTGGCTTTATAAAGATGCTGAAATGCACATAAACACCTTAATGTTTTTAGAAGTCAGGTCCTTACTAAATAAGTTTGCATCAAAGAAAATGTCTCAAATAAGAGTTTTGTGGCACTTGTTCCTGTCTAGAGACTAGATCCTCCCACATAATTCACCTGAAAATGTGCTGACAAACAAAATTGTCTTTTTTGTTTTGGTTTTGGTTTTGTTTTTTGGTGCAGCTTAGCCTCTGATCTGGCTACCTGTATATCTATCCGTGAAAAGGCTTCGGGGAAGCATACCTGAACTGTGGGAAACTTAAACTCTTAGATAAATGCTACCAAACAAACTTATGTCTTTTGAATATTTATTATATATATAAGGGATTAGCTGATACTTTAATAAAGCCATAACTGCCTTTCAAGCTTCCTACCCAGTAGAATATCTTAATTCTCTAGTCACTAGAAGGTCATATTCTGTTGGCTTTCCACATTAGAGATTTAAATGCAAGCTGAAGTATATGGAAAAGAAATAGAAAATAATGTTATTTGTGGTTTTTTTCCTAAAAAAGAAGGCATCAAAAATAAAAGGAGGAAGAAAAGGGAAAGTCGGGAAAATAGGGTTATGATAAATCAAATATGTATGTGTATATATATATAAACAATTACAAAAAACTCTTCAATATCTGTGAAGTTTTCTGAAATCACTGCTGTTTTCTTAAATGCACCTTAGTACACACACACAACCCATGCCAGATAACATTACTGGAAAGCAATAACAGAACACAAAGCATACTAAGAAGCAAATACATAAACCTGTACAAATAAAACCAGAAGGATATCAAAATATTAGAAGTAAAGTACATTTATCAAAAGACTTCTCTTTGCTTCAGTTTCCCCATTATTACAGCAAGGACAGTAATATTTATCCCTTGAAAATACCTAGAAGAATTTATTAGCTCATTATTGTCAGTAATTACCGTAGTCGTTATGTACTTTAAGATAACTGGATGAAACTACCATAAGTCCAGTTAAAATGAGAATCTGCTCAGGAAAGCAATCAGAGAGGAATGCAGAGCCTTGAACTCTTATCGTGGGATCTTGTTTGGCCTTATCTGGTAGTTACTGAAATTTGTAAGCATGCCCAGCTGCTTTGAGGGCTACAAAGAACAATATAAGATCCCTTTGTACTGCAAAGGTCAACGTGATGGCCAGAGCTCAGCAGCCCAGCTTCAGTGAGATGAGCAGGCAGAGGAATAATCATCTCCTTTGGCCCAGAGGGAGCTGGGACTGTTGGCCTTCCCCTTCCAGCTGCTGGATGGAGAAGCAGTGTAAGGTCTCAAAGTCAGCCAGCCCCCTCCCTAATACTGCTTGAGAAATCACTTATACCAAATAATACTTCCCTGCTCCCCCTCAGCAGGATTTGTCCCACAGTCCTGCGGCACTTCGAGTGTCTCTGAGAGATGTGGACTCTTGGAATGGAAAGCAGGAGCCAGTGACAGAGCACTCCCATTTTCTCAGTTCTGTTTCTGCTTGTAGTGTCTAGCTTATTATCTTTTTTCCCTGAGCTTTCCAAGGCTGCTGTTCATGTCTGGCAGGTAACTTTTGTTCCTTAGCTACCTCCTGCCACTCTGAGCACTCTGCTCACACAGCAGCTGGGGAGGGAGGAGGAATGATCCCCTTCTTTGTACCAGTGAGAGGGTCCTTCCTGGCACAGGTCAGAGGGATGAGGAAATGATTTAAGGCTGCAATTTTTGCAAGTAATGCCAGGGTGCAGCTATATTTCTGGAAAGCAAGAGCCAGCTGTGCCAGAGCAGAGAAGATTGCTTAGTGCAGTGTCAACATTAAAACCCAACAGCATTTTGATATGAGAGAAATTTTATTAAAACCATAAGAAGCGACCATCCAATAGTTGGTTCTTTCTTGCTTTTAGCGTATACATAAAAGAAAGGGCTGGCGTTCTGACAGCGAGCAAAATGCTTTCAGTCCTCAGCCTCAGAAACACAGGCTTCCTCGGTCACACAGTTTTCAATAGCTGCAAACACAGTTATGTTGCTAAATGTTAAGGGCTCAGCTGTTTACCAGAAGAATGTTTCCTCCCTGGGACACATGGTTTCGCTTAAAAGAAGTTCTCCCAAAAACCCCACTTTATTTAATTAGTAAATGCAACATTATAGTTCTAACAAACATGCCATGCTGTCTTCCCTTACAAGAGCAAAATAGGAAAAGAAGACAAAAATTGACCTCTCAATTTAAGAGAGGGGCAGAAATACATTCTGCCTAGAAAATGTGGCAGCTTTGAGGTCTGGTGCCAAATCCCGTGCTTGAAATGTACATATTTTAGTTGTCGTTTCCATGTCCTGGTTCATGCTGAAAGTACAAACATGGATTGGAGTGAGAGGCTTGTTCTCCCAGCTTTTACCAAGGGCTGGTCAAATCTCTGCCTCCCACTTCCCAGGCTCAGCTCTCCCCTTTTTAAGGGAGAAGTGATCCTACTCCCTCTTACAGAAAGCACATTCAAATCATTAAATAAAAATTTAGTACACTTGTAGCTTCTAAATGAAATTACACTGAAATTAATGCATTTACATCAGCAGTTGATTTATCCCAGAGTATCGCCAGGATGCAAGCAAGAGCTTCTAGAATGAAAGTATTACATTTTTAATTAAGGGCCCTTGAACTTGCCACATGCTTTGAGCTTGTGGAGAGTGAAATGATGGCAAATTTCTGAACAACTCAGCTCAGCGAAGTATTTACAACTATCTGCTGAAAATGATGGTTGTGAGACAGAGCTTAAGCTAACATGGGAAATCTGTGCTAAAAGAATTACAGATATTGTAGCAACCCAAAGGAAGCATACTGTTCACATTCTTCTTATTTCTTCTGACTCTTGTATCCAGTGGAAAAGTTCTTGATAAGCTTTATTGCACTGCAGAGGGTATAAACAATGCACTTTGAAATCTGCTGAGTTTAAACCCAAAACTTGTCTTTTCATTTTTTTTCCTGAATTGTCCCACAGACACAAATCCACACCACACATGTGTTTATAAAGAACAGAATACATTTATTACTGCCATACAATCCTTTCCTGTCTTGCTTTTTTTTTTTTCTCAGTATTTCCTAATTTATTTTTTTTACTTGCTACAACATTCTTCTATTTGCTGAACTGCAACGTGGTGTTTGATGTCAACAATCAAAAGGCAAAGAGAGGGGGAAAGTATTTTTTTTTCTGCTTTAATAGTTTTTATGTTTCAAGATTTAAACCGATTCCTTCAATGGGGTCAAGCAAAAATTTACTCTGTGACAGAGAAATGTACTGAATCAAGAGGTTTTCAGTACAGAGGGTATTGGCCTTCTGATGGAGCTAATGGGACCCTGTTGTTCACAGGATAATACACTTAGTTAACACAATGTGAGCTGGTTTTACAGCTGCCATGGAAGAAAAAGATTACACCAGAAATATAGGTCTGGTTGGTTTTTTTTTTTCTTTTTTCTTTTTCTGCTTTTCTCTAAAAAGATCTTGCACATTCTTGGCTTTTTGGCATGAATTCTTTCCTTCTACGTGTAAATAGAAGTCAATTATTAACCACAAACACCAAAATACAATTGATTCTAATGCAACCACTGTGTGTAAAACAATAGGGTAAATCTCTCAGTTCCCTACCTTCCTAATTTATACTGACTTATCACTTCTCTTCCCAGAAGTTTCCTTGCAAACCCTCACATTTCATTGTCTATGAGGGTTTTTTTTTTTTTACTGTTTGGTCTCTGTAGACACCAGACAACACCAGACATTCAGTTCTCATTCCCTTCCTGTCCCTCATGTGAGGCCTGGGAGCCTTGGAGAAGGGAACATCACCCCTGATGCTGTAAAGCTGTTAAAAGGCACCAAGAGAGAAGCCAGAATGCAGAAACTCTGGCAGCCCCCCAGCAGCACACCTTTCCTCCTTGTGCTCCTACATTGCCTCAGTCCTTGGAAAGATCATTTTAGCAGAGCAGAGGTTTATGGGCTGATTTGTGATACTTACTCCAACCTCTTTTTCCATCTCAGATGCCTTCCTTTTGATTGCAGGGCAGACACGGGAGAGGGGTGCCACAGGATTCTCCAGATTCAGTGCATGGAGGTGGTCACAAACCACATCAGGTGTCATTGGGGTGTCAGGGAAAGGCCAGTCACCCAGTCCAACACAGGCACCATAAAAAAGGTGCAACCACCTGTGAGTAAAACTAAAACCTTATGAGAGATGGCTGGACTGATCGTTGTTTCATAAACCTGCAGGCCCCAATGAGAAAGGAAGGTCGTGGTTGCCGTGATACTTTGTCAGTAAGGACTTGTTTATCATTCTTTAGAAGTGAAGAAACATTTAAGTAGCTTTTAGGGGATGGCAGAGGGCTTTTCTAGTGGTCAGAAAAGTAACAATTTCAAGGTTGATGTTACTCCTCTGTCCTCAGTGTTTATATAACTGCAACTTTGTTGCTAATTAAGAATCAGCTTCAAGAAAGCAAAACACAAAGCACAAGGTGCACAATCAGCATCACGAAAGGCCAGAAACATTGGTTCTTTCACCATGTGATAAATAAGTATTTTGTGCCGATATATGGGTCCTGTGTGAAGGAGCTTGGCCATGGGCGCTCTGCACGGTGCTGCTAGGCCAAGCACCAAGCCCAGGAGAAGCTTCTCTGGGTGACCAGGACACTGAGCTCCCCTGGACAGAGAAAATTCTTTTGTCTCACCAGGAGAAAAAAGCATTGTAACATCAACCACACAAAAAACCCCATTTGCTGCTGCTGCTCCTGCTGCTGCCCTGCACAGTGAGCATTGTCCCCCTGTTTGGGACTGGACAGAGGGGACTTTGCCTGGATGTGCTGGATGTGCTCCTAACCATGCCTGCTGCCTGTCCCCCCTGCGACGTCCTGGGGGTGATTTCCCAAACAGCTCTCTGGCAAAAAGGACACTGCTGCTGGACAAGGGGAGATGCAAAACTTACAACACCAGAGTGAGAAGCCTAGTGAAGTCTGGCAGCTGGATGTGTCAGTTGTCTTGGCAGCTATGCAGGGTTTTTTCTTGTTTGCTGTGCTAGATGTAGGCATCTGAATTCCTGCTAAAGAGGAACAGGGGTGTTCAAAGCCTCTTGTGATTTTGCAATTTGCTGGTTCATATGTCTTCTTATCTGTGGCACTTACAGATATATATGGATAAATGTACATGTATGTTTATATACCTCAGAGGTCTCAGAATTAAATGTGTTTTGTTTTGAATATTCAAGACATCCCAGCATAGAAAATTCTTTAAAAATTATTTTCACCTCAGTGAGCATCTTCCACAGAGGAGTGCATCAGCTTCCAGAAGGTGAGATATGTGGAAGATTCCCTGTTGCCACGCAAAGGAGCTGAGCCAAGGTCTAACAACAGTGGTCTGAACTACAATACGAAGGGGGAGCACGTCTGTGCTTGCACAGAAGTATCCCACGTCGGTGCAAAATGGGCCCGTGGATTCCTCCATCCCTCCTGGGTATTTCAATTAAAAGCCGAGAAGGAAGTCCAAGAAAATGCCTAAAATGGCTTGAGTCCTTCCTCACGATCTGGAAATGGAAGTCTGCGGTGACTAACTCCAGCCCAGCCACCAAACCCCTCCCTCCCCGACTCTGCATTGCTCTGCTCATTCCCAGCTCCTCTCCCGCGTTTGCAAACAGTCGGCAGTGGAAACGGTGAAGCAGCCTGGCTTCGAGCGCCAGCTCCACACGAGTGGTATGCGACTGCAGCAGGGACTGTCACCAGCCCATCCCCGTGCCTAACCTAGGAAGAAGTGGTTAAAATCTGACGGGGGCAAGGCTTGATTATAAGCAGAGGAATGACTTTAAAAGAGGCTGCCGCCACGCCTGCAAACAAAGCCCGGTTAAATCCTTCCATGGACTTAAACTGGCTTCAAAACAGGCCTCTAACAGCTTCTCCATGTTTAAATAAAAATTAAAGTGCTTGTTTGTAATTTCTAAGCCAGTTCAGATGATGCCTTCTGATTTTCTTACAAAGCTAACAGCAATATCCGTAAAGAACAAAATTAGCTAACTGAAAGCTGCATCCCTTACACACTCAGAGCTGGTAATATGAGCTTATGTGAGCTTTTTTTTCTTTTTCTCTTTTTTCCTGCTCATTCTGTTGTGGTTATACATTTGACCTGAATTTGAAGGCATCAGTCCTGAAAGAAGAGTTGCCTGGGCACTGGGAGCAGTGGGAGCTCATGCTCTGATAGTGGGTTCCATGGGCATCAGCCCAGTGCCTTCTCTGTTCACTCACATCGTTTGACAAGCATGAAGTCTCAGCTCTTCTGCTCAAATTTTAACCATCTAGGTGCAAATATTGAGTGATTTTTTTTGTGATTTCAACTGTTCATTACCTTTTACCACCCATCCACCTCACTTAGAAGTCCACTGAGATTTTTTTTTGTGTGTGTTACCTATCCCACAGGAGTGTGTGATCTCTCCTGGTATGCAAGAACAGTGACAATGCAAAAAAAAACCCAACAGAATGGGATGCTTGTCACCCCATTACTGTGTTATTCAAAATCTTAAAGTTCAAAATCTTAACCTTCTCTTTCAGTTTAATTCAGTCACAACTTTTTCCCTGAGGACTCAAAAGAGTCAGAGCTTTCTGTGCTCATGAGTGAAGGCTATGGGAGGATAAATAATCCACTGTGGGGTCCAGGATGCCTTGTTCACTCCTGTTTGGTTGTGAATCATGGAGAAAGATATCCTTGAAATGTTTGACTGCTTCTGAGACAAAGCCCTCCTTGCTCTTCATTCAGCAATATGGCAAAATCTTTGGGAGACCAAACATGGCTGGAGATGAGTTTATTCAAAGGGTGTATGAGGTCTTGGCTGGAGAGATGCAGAGCTGAGCTGCTGGCATATGCCCTACCCAAATTTACTCCTGCCCTCAGGTTTGTGACCTCAGTGACTATTTAATAGTGTAAACCTACCTTCTATATTCCCTGCAGAGCTGATTAAAAAGGATGAACACATGAAGGAACACCTGAGCAAGGATATCACTAGATTAATTCATTATTTCTACTAAGCTAATTAAAGGCAGATCAATTAAGTGATCACACTGCGATCATGATTAAGATCAAATCAATAAATCAGTAGATTCAAATGGTTGATCAGCAGGTTGTATATCTATCAAAACGGCTTGTGAGGTTGCCACTGAAGGAATTACTTTGATTTTAATCTTGTCTAGGAAGATTTCAACGAGGAGGCAGAGTCTTTTCAGGCTAAAACCCCAGTGAGCTTTCCAGCAGTGAAGAACATAGACCTTTGAAAGATATAGTGATATTGAAGGAGATATCTCTCCTGCTTCAAAGGGGTATATCCAGTCTTCTTTGGATTTTTTACTAAGCTGTATGACCCAGGTCATATGGTAATCTTGTTTTCACTGTGTTTGGGGATGTAACGTGACAGGCATCACCACGGTAACTTTCCTTTAACACATCTTTCTTAAACCTTAATTTTACTTTAAAATATATTAACATTTATTGTCTATATATACCCTGTTTCGCAAGTGGCCCAGTTTTTCTCCACTGCCAAAGCAGAAGGGGTAGTTAGGTAAGCCTGGCAACTTCTGAATAATCTTGTTTTCAGCTCCAAAACCTGCCATCTTAACTAATTTACTACTTTGTTCTAGTATTCCTCCAAGGGGATTTTTCCCACAAGCACACCTGGTCACCCATTCATACCAATAGAAAACCAAGAAGAGATGGAATCGATTCATTAAAACAAAGGTAAAAACAAACAATGTAATTTCATCATTCCTTGGAGGGTTTAATTCCATCCATATTTCTTCATTACACCAAGCACAACACTAAAGGCTTCCTCTGGGCACACAGCCTGGAGTCTGATGTGGCCCCAGAGCAGGCTGCAGCCTGCCCAGCCCCATGAGAGCCTTCCCTCAAGTCTAGCTCATCTTCCTCTGCAGCTAAGGCAGCATGTTCATATTTTTATTTTGGGTAGTGGATGATACAAAAGAATCATGTTTCTCTTATTGTTATCATTAGCATTTGTACAGGTACAACTTCTACTTAAACCAGCCTTGGGGTCACACTGTAGGGCTGTCAGGCCAGTTATAAACCCTGCTGGTTTGGATGGTATCTGTCATCCAGGTCTTTCATAAGCTGTGTCGGGAAGTCCCACTAGCAAGTGACCTTTAATTTTGCCTGATCAGTTTTGATCATATATCTGTAATAAAAATACAGATGTGTAGGAGGAAGCCTTGCCAGTAAAGGGGAAGTTTTTCTTGCAGCAGAGGTAAGGGAGTATCACATGCTGTTGATGGAAATCTCCCAACTTCCAGAAAAATACTGGGTATCCTGCTCAGCATACAGCTCCTTGGTACAGTTTCCTTGTGTTAGTTCCTCCTACAGTTAAAATATTGTGAATTTCTTAATGGAAAACTATTGGGGTGCTAACTTGGGGAATTTTTTTCCATTACTCTCATGGCTTCTGATCTAAACCTACAAAACACTGTTACATTAATTACTATTTTACCATTAAAGTTTTCTCAGTATTGACTCTACTTTGGGTCTACTCTCATCCCACAATGTCCAGTCCAAGCAAGGGTCAAAATGTATTTGAATTCCCAGTTCATGGAGGCCCCAGGCTTGCTGGTAATGTGGTGGGAGGCTTTTCAAATTTCTTTGTCACCAATGTGAATTATAGCATGCCTGAGGCAATATGTGGGCCTTAAAAATAAAAAAATAAAGAGTAAAATAAAAGATGCTGTGGTTCTCCTTTTGCAGAGACGGCACAAATCAGGGGGTGAGCTCTGCACAGTGCTCTGGTGGAAAGTAATTTCCTGATTTAGGGTGATATGTAGCTAAGGATTTTGACTGATCTCATCTATATATATATATATTCAGTCTTTCTGAGATACTATTAGTAAGCATAGCTGAAATTTGAATATCTTATTTTATTTTATAAAGCCTTTTTTTGTATTATTTTTAGGGAGAGTTATCTGTGTTACTTGCAACATGACACAGCTTTGGGTCATCTGCAGGTTTAATCAACCTAATCTTTCAGGCAAATAATTTACATGAAAGTCATGTACAGGCCTGTACCCAGGACAGATCCTGGCTCACCCTCACTTGGTCCAGCCTTTCATTTGGAAAATAAATCACCTCTAAAGTCCAGAATAGCACAGGGCTTTGCCACTAGCCCTCCTAATTTTATCAAGTGTGTTCTTCTTCCTGGTTTAAGCAGGACATTGCATGAGACTGGGCCACAGCCTGTCTGGAGCTGAGCTGCTTCACCTCTGGAGTTTCTAACTTCCAGGTTAGTCTGCTTCGGGAGGAAAGCTGGTTGGTGTGGTATGGCTTGGTCTTGACTAATCCAAGTTGGCTGCTTCTCATCTCATTGTTATATCCTGGATGTTTACAAATAAATTCATTATTTGTTCTAAAGAGTTATAGCTAGGCTGACTGGTCTACAATTACCTTGGCTTCACTTGTCTTCCCTTTTCTCTTCGTAGGAACTCCTTTGGCCTTTTAAACTTGGGGGGTCCTGGCATATCTATCACTAACTCCCCAAATTAACCACTACTGTCAATTAGTGCTGGGTGAAATTGCTCCTGCACAGTGAAATTGAAAACATTTACCTCATCTGTGTGCTCTCTAACCACTTCTTTCCTTCCAGCTTGCATCTCATTCCCTGTCTTGGCTGCCTGTTCGGCAGCAATATATTCACTGTAGGCTGATAATAAAAAAAAGTATTAAGAACTTTGACTTTATTGAAAGTATTTATCAATAGCTTTTGCTATTTATTGGGTAGCAGAGCAATCCTTTCCCTTACTCATCTTGTTTTTTTCCATATGAGATAAAGTCTTCTGTGCATGGTCCCCCATGCTGGACTCAGAAGTGTTCAGTGCTCTTTTTTTAATCAGTGCATGACAGGGAAGATTTTTCGGAGTCAAGCTGGTTGATTTCTGGCCTCTGTTGTTTTTTAATTTTTTTTTTTTTTGAGTTCTTCTTAAGGGCTCAGTCTCAAATAGAAATTTGGGCTGCTAAAGACACTGAGATCACCTCCCATACACTGCTTGATGTAAGCCCAGACAACTCAATAGCTGTCCTAAGGCCATGTTTCTGAAGGTCTCTTCCCAAGATCCCAAACTCTCCACATCTGCTCAGTGATTCTTTTGTTAAGAGGGCCAGCAGGAAGGACTCTGTCTGCACAGCCTCCCACCTGTCTCCCTGAAGAGACATCCTTCCTTTGAATAACAACTCCCAACGTCCCTTTTGGGATGTTCCTGCTTCTCCTGGTGTGGTGGAGGTTGGTGATGCTCCTGAAGGCTGAGGCTCCCCTGTGTCCTTTTGGAAGCCCCGTCACTATGGAGACTGTGTGCAGCTTTATGATCTGTTTGTTGTCCACCTCTCTCAATCAAAAACGCTTCTGAAGCCTTTATATTTTCAGTGATTTTCATTCAAATTCACTAGTGGGTGGTTTTGAATTCAAGAGAGAAACAATAGATACACTGTAAGGAAAAACTTCCAGAAACCTATGTGGTTCACTGTTGCACTTGTTTCTTTTTTTAATAATTAAAATAGACTTTTTTTTTATTTTATATTCATTTTATGTCATTGTCATACTGCTCTGAGAACATCAGAGAGAAAGAAAATTTTTTACTTCACCCCCTGCTTTGGATGCAAAACTCACCACATTGCTCCCCATGATCCAGCTGGGGTGGCTGTGGCACTGAGAGGAGCAGCACAGCTGCCCACATGTTCTCCTGCCCCAATTCTCAGGGGACCAGCAGGAGCCAGGCACGATGGACCAGAACCCTTAGGGCCAAAAGGCATTTCTTCCCTGGAGCAGACCTGTGGGTAGCCCAGGAAGATCTTCTTGGTGCTCCCAACTCAACTAGGGGATGAATGAAACAGAGGAGCAATGATGGTGAAGCCTCGGAGTGTGCACATGGTAAATGCACCCACCTTTGCTCACCTGCTTATCACCAAGGGGCATTTCAAACCCTGGTGGTCACTTCTCCCAGTTTATAAGCTAAAGCTTTTACCTGCCAGGTCATAGCACTTCTGACTTGACAATTATTTTAATGAAATACCTTGGCCCACCCCTCTGCAGGACTTCTGCCTATGTTTGTCAGAGAGAGTTTTTATTCCTTGCCTTCTGCATATTCTTCCACCTGCTCTGACCTCTCTTCCACAGGAGTGAAGATCTATTCACCTTTGACAAATGTTAGTGCTTCTGCATTTGATAGTAATATTTTAGGGAGTTATTTTCATTCAAAGGAATTTAAATACCTCTCCTTACATGTGTTGCATTTCAAAATTTTGCATCTTGTGCTGAAGTGGGAAGAGCTCTTTGGTTGGGAACTCATGGTTTGCTCTGAAGGTTTGAGATATCAATGAGGAAATCTTATTTCTCAAAATGTAGTTTAAAAAGAGCTGCCATGTGACTAATAATAAAAATGTATAGACATGAAATCAAGGGATTATTGTGGAGAAAAATTGAATGCTTTCATGTACAGAAAATAAGGACTATGGTTTTATTTGTGTTTTCATGTAGTTTGGTTACTAGTGTTCATTCATTCTAGATAGTCAAAATAAGCCACTTTCTTTTTAGATATCCTAATGTTTTTACTTATACAGCCATGACAGGATGCCCTTAGATTTGGTGTTCTAAATCACAGCAGCGTTCCTTAACAAATGTGCTTAAATGGCACAGGATATCTCAACAGCAGGTTTTGATAAACCTTTCAGTTTTATGTACAGAACCAAAGCACTGGGAATCAGTTTGGTTGAGTCCATTTGGAAAGGACCTTTCTTTTTCATCTAACCCTTGGTGTGGCAATGGGAAGAGACCTGAGGCAAGGAATGAAGGGCCAGGTTTGCACCCAGGATCTCATGGCAGAGCTTGGTATCTTGGCTTGATCTTATTTTTTGCTACAAAGAAAAGGAGGCTGAAAAATCCCTGTTTTACTGTATTTTCATCTTAGGGAATTGAAAGAACATCAACTGAATTCAGGACAAAACAATCAAAGATCACATCACTGATGTTTTTTTATTTCTTTTTCTATATAACCTGTCTCCAGCTATGAAGCCAACCATCTTCTGGTCACCCAGACCAGATGGATGGACCCAGTTTCAAACAGTTTCCAGCTCAATCACAAACCACCATTTAACTGGGCTGAGTCACAAGCTTACCCTGCAGCAGCCACTCAAATGTCTGTTTTCTGGAGCTACAAGTAGGTCCCAGAGTGGTGTGAGCAGGATATCCAGGAGTGGATGGTGATGCCTCTGGGTGGTATAGGCTCTGCAGCTGATACTAATCCCAGTTTTCATGGCACAGTGGGACAAGGAAGAGCCCTGGGGATCCAGAAGGTGCAAAGCAGAGGAGGACACATCTCCCAGCTGTACTGTTTGGCAGCACCTATGCTAAGCAGGGAAGTCATCTTCAAAATACTGCCAGTGGGAGACCCGGCGATGAGCATGTTCAACCCCTTACGACCCCAAGAGAGGTGTGTTGTTTTGGGGTCATTTATGCAATCAGGAAAAAGCAGGGATGAGCTGGGATCCTGAGTTCCTCAGAACCACCGCATGGACATATTAAACCCCAGGACCGGACAGCAGCCAGTGATGTGGGCAGCATGCTAACAGATTGCTGAACTCACTGGGATTATAAACGCCCTCTCAAGATCACCCCTACCCTGTGATTGTGGTTTCTGTGTTTCTCTGAGTGAAGCTGACCCTACAGCCACTTTTACTTCAGCTGAGATTTATTGCTGTTAAGATTGTTGAATCCCTCTGCCTCTCCAGAGAACGAAGTATAACCAACAGCAGCGGATTCTGCTCTCAGGAAATTGCACAGGCTCAGGCAAACCCAGAGATGGTTGAGAGATCCTAAAACATCCCAACTAAAGGTTCCCTCTCTTGTTTTGCTGGTGCTGTCTAGTAGGTCCATGGCAATGTCCCAGCATGCCAGACAGGCTCCAGCCATTATGCTGGAAATGAGGGGAGAGGAATGCTGAGTGAGAAAAGTGCCTGTGTGGCTGCTGCTGCTGCTGTTGTTGGATAAAACATTGCAAGGGGATGGGAAAGGCCATGGGGAAGGTGGTGGGAGGGCTCCTGGAGGCGGCACCTGCCTGAGGTTGCAGCAGCTCCAGGGTGATTCATCCTGAACTGGGAGTAATCGGCTGCTGAAACGCTGAGCCCTGAAACTGTTTCGTCATATTTAGCATTTCCCGCTATATAACACACAACTTTGCAAAGGGCTCTCTGCTCTGTGTTTGGCTGCAGCAAAGCCCTTAGTCACCTCCTGATCCCAGCAGCCATGCGTCAGACCTGGGGAAGGGAGCGGGCAAAACAGATCTTGCAAGAACAGGCAAATTACTTTTGCTTTCTCAAGGGAAAATCCACAAACAAACAAACAAACAAAGAAGATAGTAAGGGGAAGTAAATACTTGAAATCAGCAGGATCCAAACTGAGCTCCGTTATTATAGAAAAGCCAGAACAATCTATTGGCATGGTATGGGGGTTGAAAGTGCCTGAGTGATAGCTGTGAAATATTTCTGTTGGAGAAGGTGCACACACTAATGGCAAAATAAGTGATCAGAATTTTGCTACTCCTTGCTGCAGTTTTATCTGACAAGGCTCCTCACTCAGAGCTGAGAAAATAATTGTCCTCTCAGCAATTATTCCATGGGCCAGGGGACTGACACATCCAAGCTCCAACATGCTCTGAGAGGAAGACAATCCTATAGAGAAGATCTACAGAGAAAATTCAGCATCATGTGTTTTAAAATGTTTGGTTACATAAAATATTGGTAGATCCATTTTCCAAGACAGGCATTTTGCTGTCTGGAGCAAAAAAGCACCTGGAGACCTTTATTAGAACATTTTGCTCCCTGCTCCACCACCTCAGTCACTGAAGTGGAAAAATTCACCCCCAGAAACAAACAAGTAGAGATTGCAGTGATCACAGCACTCTTGGTGGGAAGCAGGTGCTCCCAAAGATTGTCAGGACCTCCTATCCTGGAACCAGCCCTGCAAAAGAGGCTGCAGCAGGAGCCCCCAGGGACAACACTGCAAATTTGCAGAGCTCACTGATCTGTGCCAGCAGCCAGATGCACTTTGCAATCTTCTAACCTTCAAATGACCTCTGAAGGTCTGCTGTCAATTCAGTGGTGGGGAGTCTCCCACCCTCGGAATGATGTCAAATGTCCCCTATCTTTGGTATGGTGTCATTGGGCTGTGAGACTTCCACACCTCTGGGAGTAAGAGAGACCCCTGCCAAATCTTTTAACCCAGCAGCAGGATTTATAGGCCAGTGAAAGGCCACCCCAGCCATAAACCAGGAAGAAGCCCTTGTAGAAATAACCCTTCTCATTAAGTCCTGGTTGAGATGCACAGTGCAGTGCATCTCTTGTTTGATGTACAGCTCCAGCATCTCCACAGACTTCAACCAACATCTTGTAGGTGATGTTTTCAAATTTCCTCTCAGTATGATGAAAGACTGAATGTTTAATTTATTAAAAGAAATAATCTCAGCTCCTGAAGCTGAAATTTCAATTTCATCACCTCGCCCAGGAGCTGGGACCTTGGCACAGATAGATAGTGTCTATTTGTTAATCCAGACCCAGAGAGAAGAAAGGAAGAAAAAGCTTGTAGTTAGAGGACTAAAGAGAGAAATTATTTTGGGGGCCTACTCATACCTGAGATTCAAAAAGCACTGATGCATTGAGGCCTTAAAGTGTATTTTCGCAGAGGTCAAGTGCATGTCCCCAGGATGGAATGAGCAGAATAAAAATTCACATTAAATTGTGTGACTGAAACCTTGATTTAGAATCACTGGAAGTGAAAACCCCAGAGAACATTAAATGCTGTTAGATTTGTACTACAAGGCTTTGGATTTTTTTCTCTACCCCCTGGTGCCTGATGTTCCTGCAATTAATTTAGTCTATGTTTCTAACAATGTATGTGCAGAAGGAGGGGGAGCAAATTGATTTTTTGGTTTTCCTTGTATCAAAACAGTATGGCTTGCTAAAGGAAGAGCTTACATTTCAGCCCCAACATATATCTATCTCTCTTACATTCTGGATAATCCTTGAAAGATACCCCAAAGAGTAGATTTTTGCTGAGGAAAAAAGATGTGCACAAAGGCGTGCAGGAAGACCTGTGCACTGCTGCTCACAGAAGACAGGTGAGAACAGGGGCCATGTGCAGGAATGTTGGGTACTGGCACCAGCAGCACACAACTGCCTGGAGGCCACCCAATGGGATGAGAAATGTCTTGGACAGCCAAGGATGAGGACAGGAGCTTACTGACAAATTACTTGTGATCTTGCCGTGACTCACTACAGAAACTTCCCTGCCTCAGCTCGTCTTCTTGAGACATCTTTACTGCTGACTGATTCGTGGCAGTCTGGGTTTTTTTCAAACTTAGAAAGCCACCCAAACACACAATCACTGAGTAATTACCATACATGTCTAGGACCTAAATAAATAAAAGTGCTTGCCCTGCACTTTTCTGATCCAAAGCATAGTAGACTCTGAGTAATCACTTCTAAACCTGTGTTTCAGATGTTTGTGTTGCTTTCCTGGGCTGGCCAACAAGAAAGCTGAGGTGGAGGATGAGTCTGATGTCCTGGAAAAGCCATAGAGTCAGAATGAGAGAGCACAGGTATTGCAGAGCTTTTCAGCTCCTCTTGCTGCACACAGCCTTTTCACAAAGGTAGAGCTGGGACTTGTCTGTATTTCTCTCCCTGCTGTCCTTCTGAACACCATTCTGCATGCAAATGTTGAATGCATGGACTAAATACCTTGAAGCTCATCCTTTCCAGGAGATGCACATTACCTTGTCTTCTTCAAGCCTCTGTATGGCTTATACTGCAGCTGATGCCAAAGCACAAGTGAGGGGAAAAACGGTGGTGGAAATTCAAGGAAAGAAGGAAGCCAGGGCAGCTCTGACAACTTTTATGTCTCCTCCTAAAGCTGGCATGGGCCTACACAGACTGGGGGAAGCACATGTATCCATGTCTTCAGCTCACAGCAGTTTGGAATGAGGGTAAGAGGACCTATCATCCCAAACCCAAGCCATTTTCCTAAAGAAGCTGTTGGAGATCTTTGGTGCTGCCTCCCATAGCCACCTCCTGGCACAGTAGAGGTGGTGGTACCAGTCTCCTCCAGCAGTATCTGCAAGTGTATGGGAAGCAGGTGGAGGCATGGCTGGGGAAATGGGGGGGCACAGAGCAGGGCGGATGGACTAAGTGTCCAAAACAGAGAGAGAAAATTAAAATCCTACAGAGGGAACCCTTCCTACTCTTGGAAGGTACTTTGAAGGGCTGTTTTAAAAGATTTCTCCAGTGGGCTGATGAAGAAGGCAGGCTCGAGGTACAAGCACATATTGCTTTCAGGTATGTTCATGGGGCGTTTAGGGACAGCTTGATCTATTTAAGATGCAAAAGACAGTCCAAGATAGACTGAAAATTTGGAACAAAACTGAAAGACATTATGTTGTTACAACCAGATAAACAGTCTGTTCCTCTCTCAAAATTAAGCAGATTTGACTACAGTTATTTCTACGTTATATTCTCCTGTTGTGTACTTCAGATGAAGTTCTGTCTCCAGAGAATTAAACACCTCTGTATCCACATGGCTGCCCTGGTCCAGTTGGGGAATGCAACCTGTCCCTGGAAAGAAGTTACCCATAAACAGTGAAAATACTTGTCAAAATTGTACAGAGAGCCTTTTAATTAAAAGTAAAGCAAAGCAAAACAAACCCCAGCCTAATTATGTTAGTCTCATGATGAGGAATTCAGCCTACTCTTACTTTACTGTACCTGCAGCTCTCATTTTTCAATGGCTGGGAATAGATATACATATTCAATGCTTGCCCTGGTTCTAGAACTGCATTCAGTCCAAAACGTAAAATCACTTTGGTTAAATGCTCTGTCCTTCTTAAGTCTCCAGCCTTGAAGTTTTCACTCATCAGTGTAGTGCCAGTATTCAGACCCTGGCTTTCATCCTGGAGGCAGGAGGGTCAGTGTTTCATGCTCAGGGTGTCAGAGGTTTCCAGTCAGATGTTGGACAAAACACCGCTTTTCAAGGAGACTCTCACAAGCTGCTGGAGCTTTCTGAGCCTATTTTGTCCAAGAAAAAAATATTTTAGATCCATAATAAGGAGTTTATTCCAGGTCTTTTTCTATTTTGTATGCAGTATTTTAGTTATGGCTCTACCCATGCCAACACCACAGGCTGCTATTTTGCTGTTGTTCCTATGAATGAAGTAAATAGCTCTGCATTCCAGCTCATGATAATAACACAGCTATATTCCTAGTTGGCCTTGGCCAAAACAAGCTATTAAAATGAGTTTTGGTTTGTCACGTTTCATGTTCTGAATCATCTTCAGGAAGTGTGGATCTGGTGGAAAGGCACTGAACAGGCAGGAAAAATGAACCTCTCATGCCAGGATCCACTGGGACAAAAGCAATAACGTTCCTTGTCTCCTAATGTGCAAATGTGTGTGCGGAAAAAGGCTCATTTTTTAATGTGTTCAAAACACAGTGCCCCTTTTTTTGCCAGTTGTAACTCACGGTGAAATTCCTGTGCTGACTCTCCTCTGTCTTCTGCTGCGGGGAGTGGGCAGTGGAAAATGCAGCACGAGGTTTCGCCAAGTGCTTCCCTGTTACTGGAGTAATTTTGCTCAATGGTTTTTCCGATAGGGTGAAAAGAAGGTTATCTCATATGACTTGAACTGTGCAGCCTGATACAATCATTAGGAAGCTTTGACTGTGTAATAACTAACTTGTGATATTAGTGCAGCTTTCTGCAGGTGCCTCTCTGAAGCTCCTACCTTGGCAGCCGCTGTGGGCAGCCTCCCCTATCGTGGAGGCAGCCCATGATGGCAGTCACTGGTGGGGATGGTGGGCTGAAGAGACCATCCTTGCGTTCACTGTGTGACGCTGCTGCCTTCTGCCTTGATGTGCATGAAGAAGGCTTGAGCCCTTTCTGCTCCCCACACTCGCCACCCCATGTTCTCCTTGGCACAGGCTCATTGCTTTATTTGTGTGGGGTTGCATCTGTGCCTGGATCCCATTGGACCTTGGTGAGGATCCAACATCATTCATTTCATGGGAAAAGCTTTTTTGAAGGGACCAGAAGATTTCAGGGCAGTCAGGAGAGAGGCGTTCTCCTCAGCAAAACAAGCCTCTGAGTGGCTGCCAATTAGCTGCTGTAACAGCTCATGATGTCAGGTAGTGTTTGAAAGGCAGAGATTTATAATCCAGGGTCACATAATCTCTATGGCAAATCAAATCTGTGATGAAAAAAAGCAACCCTGTAATAAAAAGATTCAACACAGGAAGTCCGATAAACTGTTAATTTTACTTAAGATAATTACGGTATTTACATCTAGATAGTGCTGACAGTCCAAGGCTTTGATAAACTCTAATGTGATTTATGGGCAGCAGAAAGGATCTGGGTTGAACTCATTGTCCTCACCTCAGGCACATCTGCTCTATGTGCAAAGCTCTGATGAACACTTGCTGCCACAATAGACAGGACTGGCCACAAGTGCCTCCTGTCAGAAGCATGACATCTTCATGGGCTGCTGTTCAGGAGTGACCAGGGATTATTAAATACTAATGAAGATACTACAGTTATAGACAGCTCAAAGAGCTTGACAACGCACTCAAGGGAAAGAGCCCAAACTGGTATTCTGATCCCAGAAGAGAACTGGGAAAGGAGAAAGTAAATGAGGCTGCCTCATCTTCCAGGAGCTGCTTTTAGTGCTTCAGTAGATGGCTGATCAACAGTGGCCTCAAATCCAGAGCCACTGTCATTACCTGCAGCTCCATTCTGCTGATGCATCCTACAGCATAGGTGAGGAAACTGCCACAAAACAAGTAACGGCTGAGGTTCAAACAGTGATTTGTGGCACAAATGCTGCAGCTGCTTGTGATTTTGAGGATTTGTTGTGTCCCTCTCCCATGGATGCTATCCTGCTCCTTGGAGGTCTCCAGCTTCAAGCAGGATGAACCGTGTCAGTGAGGTGGTGGAGGCAGTCACAACCCAGGACAGGAATATTCCATGAGCACAACGGTTGCAGAAACACTAAAAACAATTTTTGAGTGAGATGTCATATGTGATATGGGAGAAGAAGGAGCATCTCTGGGTATCAGTCTCAGGTTTTAAAGGTAGTTAATGGCTGTACCAAAAAAAGACTGTGGTTTGGGTTTGTCATCAGCTGACTATTGTCTGAAATGAAGCTGAGGCTCATGGGTGACAATCAGGGATTTGAGGTTTACCTTCAACATCTCAAGAAGATGCCACATGGATAAAGTTATATCTGTCCTAAAATGGCTCAAAAAGGAAGGGGTATCACATTTTGCCTCCTATGCAACATTTCTTTGCCATCTTACTGCCCCACTGGAAAGGCACACAGTGGCACCAAGAGACATGCAAAATATCCATTGTGAGAACAGGTTTGTGTTCCTTCTCACACAAGTCCCTTTAGGGAGTCTTGGAAAGTTTCTGTAGAAACCAGAAGCTCAGGACAACCCTCACAGAGCTGTTGTCTTTCTTTGTAGACTTCTATCTCTGAACACTACACAGATCAGTGATTTATGAGTCTTTAAATGTTTGGTCTCCATTTAGCTAAGCAGGGAGATGGATGGCCACTCACTCTGCATGGAGCAGCAGGACATCGGAGTCTTGTCACCTGGAGCCATCTCTCATCCCCAAAACTGAACGTGAGTCAAAGGGTTTTGTGACAAGCATAATGACTTGTACACTGAAACCATGTGAAACTGGACTCATGTTTTACAGAAAACGCTGCAGTTCTGGGATGGATTTTGGCAAGCACACGCCCTTCAAAAATCCACAATACTGACATTTGGTGAAGGGTGGGAGGGGGAGGAGAACACAAAACATCCAAGCCCATGTTTTTCATTAAAAAATCATAATGTTTCATGTCTAAAATATCAAAATGAATAATCTCAATGCATCCAATACAACTGCAATGAAGAGACTGCTCCAACAGCACACCACTTCTCTTTGTGAGTGGACAGGAGATGAATGTCCTTTTTGATTTGCATTGAAAGTGGTGTCTTCTAGGACATAGGAGAGGAAGGGGGATGAAAAGGATATTAGGCAGCCTGCATCTCAAGAGAAAAAAACTCCTTTTAATCCTCTTCCCAGCAAATAAGGTGAAGAGGACATGAGAGTAAGAACAGCACAACCAGAAGAAAAAGACATGTTCTCAAGGGCACCATCGGAACCCTGGCACTTTGCATTCCCATGCTGAGTTTTGATACCTACCATGATAGTACATCTGATTCCTTTCCAGAGGAAACTGCTCAGCTGTGTTCCTGGTTTATGTGTTGGAGCAGTGAGGTCAGGAACCACCTTTCATGCAAGGACCAAGAAATCAGGTGACTGAGCCATATTCACAGCCATATGTAAAGAAAAGGCAGCAAACAGGCAAATTCTAGGCTGCTGCAGTGGAGTGGGTAAATTCTTCAAGGCAACAGGCAGTGGTGCATCCCCACACTCAGATTTGGCCTCTCCAAAATCAGTTGGTTCTAATTTCCAATGGATTTTCAAATCAAACCTCAAATGCCTTTTTTTTTTTTTTCTTTTACAATCAGGACCATTGCTGGGTATGGCAGGATGCAAAGACCTGGTGAGCTACCCCTTCTGTGTCCAATGGAGAAAGGCTGGAAAGCTGCTAAAAAGGGGAAAGAACAGGCCAATGTCCTGTTATGAAGGAGTCAAGTAGCAGAGAGACAAAACAGAACTTCTAGCACCTTGTAGCTTGACTTCTGGGATTGAATGCAATGTCAACCCCAGGCGAGCCCAAAATCACCCCACTACCCTCAGGCTGCGGAGGAAGGGCACCACTGGTACCTTGGATCTCCATGGGAACCATATCAGAGCGAGGGGAAATGAAAGAGGAGAGCAGAGAACAGACCAGAGTGAGCAGCAGGGAACAGAGAGAGGGTGGTGGTGGGGTGAAGGACATGTGGAGACCATCCATGTGCCACGGTGCCCTGTGGCGAGCAATAACAGGCTTACTGCAAAGCCTGCTGCACTGGGGAAGAAACCTGAGCGATGTATGGAGCCTGTGCTAGGGGAATGGTGTGTTTCCTCACAGCAGATTAAACTGGCAGCGATATTGGCAGAGGGAGCTTGTGAGGAAAAGCAAAAGCAGACAAGAAGAGCTCAGTCTTCCCACAGGTTTTGTGAGGAGAAGGTTGTGAGCAAAGCAGAGACAAAGGATGTTTCTCTAAACCCATTCTCCTCTTCCCCTCCAGCCCCCAGAGGAAACTGCATTAGGAAAAATACCCTCAGCAGTGTCACCTCCTCCTCTTTTTCTCCAGCCATGGCCTGAGGATCTCCAGGCAGCGATGGCTGATGTCACCCAGGCTGGGGTGAGCAACCTGCGGTGCCAGTGCCTCCTCTTACAGTGCCGAGAGGTTCATCCCTTTGTTGCACGGCAAAGCAGCTGCCATAGGGCAGAAGGATGGGAGTTCATGGTGGTCCAGGAAAGGGCTAGCAGCACACTGGCCAAGCAACACTTTACAGGCATCAGCTCCACAACTTGCAAGTGCCTTTCTGCTGTCCCATGACAGAACCACATTCCAGGGAAGTGGTGCTACTGCCATTCTCTGCCCTGATGCCTTTGGAGGAGGCAGTTTTGCAGAAGCAGTGCAGATCTCCCCAAGTGGGTGCTCTCCTTTTGGAAGCTCAGCTCTCTGCCTGCACAGGCTGTGCTGCAGCTCACACACCACCAGTGCTACTTAGCTCATCTTCACATCTGCTCTGCTGCTATGGTCCCAGACCACTTGGGGATGCCATTAGCTTCTTTATTAGGAGATATTGGGAGAGGGCTCATAGCTGTGCATCTCTTTCTTACCTGCACACAGACAGCTCCACACTCAAAGGTGTATTTTCTCGTGTGGTTGGGGTCTCACCATCACACCTGACCATAGAGAAGCAGGAGCAGCTCCTGGGGCTCTCCTACAAGGGGTATTTGCACAGGACCACACAAAGCAATTGCAAAGCTTTCTCATCCCAGCCCAAACAGCTGCATCTCCACAGATACTCCCTCCCTATCTGACTATGGCAGGAGGACATGATGATGAAGTTCACTCCATGGTGTGTCGCTACAAACCTGGCAAACTGGTTGAGGCTTCAGCCATTTTTCTCTGACATCAGACATTTTTCAACCAGCAGACTCCTGTCAGCCTGACATTTTTCTTTAATGCACAGTCTGTAGTGATTTTGACAGGAAAATTCCCATCCATCCCCTCGTACTTCCACGCAGCCCAATGTGCTGTGTCATCATGGTGTCTCATTGTCCTGATTCTGGCATTTTAATGCAAGACCACTAAGGGATTTGGCACATGAGGCACAGCCAATGCCACACAGCACCTAGAGCTCATTGTCTCCTTTGCAAAAGGCAGAGGAGGAAACCAGTGTCTGGTCATTTTGGCTGCTCTCTGCCATGGCCTGCTCAGTGATGCAGCCTGCTTCAGCTGATAGACTTGTAGAAAGAATCAGAAATGTCAAAATTACCTTCTGCTCCACAGCAGGTCTATCAGTGATTTGTTTTTCTCTAAGCCAGGCAGCTGCAGGATACACTGTTCTCTGCAGTTTTAACTGTCATTCGCTCCTGATTTTATTTTCAAATCCACAGTTCAAATGCATTCTCCATTTATAGGATGGGAAAATGGCACTGACACGGTCTTTTCTCCCCTGTGTACCTATCTTCACCACAGGATACCTAGAAATGTGCCCTATTCCTCCTTCCTCCCCAAGAAGTTCTCAGTATTTTGCAAAAAGGGGAAAGCTGTAGGCAAAAATTATTGTTGCTTCAGGAGAAGAGACAGTGAGAATAAATGGGCTTTCTCCCACATCTAGCAGAGGTGGAGAGGGTGCACAGTAAAAGTTAGGACAGAGCCATACCAGCCCAAGCAAACAAGCATTCCCTGGGAAATGGGGCACTTTGCACCCTTGGATAGGAGATCTCTTATACCTTCACCTGGTGCTGCCTGTGCCACACAGCTTCTCTCTGAGCTCACTCACTGAAGCTTTTCCTTGTTTCTCCAAACACAATCCTTAGTGTATTTCTACACTACAGAAAACAGGACTGTGCTGCAGCAGCCATGGCCCATCACCTTTGCAGCAGGGGAAATGGCAGCAGGGCCACTGCAACGGGCAGCAGCTGAAAAAGGATTTTCTTTCCTGAGGATGTATGCAATTGGTGCTTTACATTCTGTATTTTTCCATTTGGGAAAACCATGTTTGGGACAGACACTACAAAAGCAATCTGAAATCAAATTTAACAGAGTTTTACGCACTGCAGCAGAACAGAGTTTCAAAGGATGTTTAGGGAAGAGTGCCTGTAGCCAGCCATTTGGAGGGTACATTTAAAGAAAGGCAATAAAAAATACCAAACCCCCTTGTCTTTCTGCAGGCACAGCCTCAAGCAAATGTACACGAAGCCACAGAGGAGAGGAAAATATGTCTGTCCCCATCTAAAAGAAATAAGCTCAGGGCAATATGCACAGATGAAAGGGGGATGAATCAGAACAATGTAGCTGGGACCCAAAACAAAGTTCTCAAGGATATAAACTGGTGAACATCTGGGTACCAG